CATCTAGTCTTATGACTCTGTGGTACCTAAATGTGTGACCAATCGAGTTGGTCTGTGGTACCACGAATCCCCCATTCATTACCAGTTCATTCTCAACATTGTCGACCTTGCTAAACCCTACTTCAACACCTGAGGAAAAACAACAGAGGAATTACTAAAATAGTCTTGTATAAAGTTAAAGGGTAATCATTTATTCTTGAACTTCAATAAATTATATCTTTGTACAGATCAATTATATTATATTACAAATAGATCAACTTATCAACAAAATCCCAGTACTACCGAAACAGATTTTAATTTTAAAAACTTTTCTTGTGGGGAGGGAAGAGAAGCAACAGAAATCCTAAGTAATTACCACCCTTGGGTTGATCAATGAGTGTTTTATATTGCATATATTTATTGTTATTTACTCTTTATTTTTTGATTTGATATTATTGATTTATTTTTATTTTGGGTTTATTTTGGACATAAGCTTTATTGGATTAATTAGAAAAAAAGTATTAGATTTCGATGGTCCAGTAAACATCTTGAATATTTAATTGGAATTAACTTGGCATAAGGTTATCATAAGATGAAACATAATTCAGTACAAGACTTAAATATTTATTTTTATCTTTTGTGATAAACCTTTTAGATTTAAGATTTTTAGTTTGATTATTTTATTATTATTTTATTTAGAAATTAGTTATTTTATTGGAACTATTGGTATTATTTTTAGTTTGATTAAGAATTAGTCATTTTATTTACTTAGAACTTTTGGGTTATAAATACTCTTAGGTTCAACTTTTAAATTCATATTATAATTTATATTTTCTTGGTTATTTATTGAAGCTCTACTTTTCTTTCAACTTTTTACTTTTGGCAAACAAGGTTAGATAATCAATTTAATCTTTAAATTCTTTACACTTTCAATTCAAAGATTGCACCTTGGCTTGAATGTTGTTTTAATTTACCATTGGGGAGGAGAATCAGATTGTAGCAAATTCAAATCCCTAAGAACTAACTTAGTGGCAATCCACTAAGAGAAATTAAGATCGAGTTCGATTCTTATTGATACGCATAATCCAAGCACGAACTTTTCCAGCATTAAAGAAGATATTGGCGTTAACATCGATAGTTGAAGTTAAATCCAAACAAGAATTAAATTCAAATGATTGACTTTGGAAATTAATTCACATGAGAGAAGAGCAAATTACAAAGGTTGGGTTGTTGACTATAACCGACAGGAATCCCAAAGTAAAATATATTTCAAGGATCGAGATGAGTCGAGTCAAAGCGAAGCTAGAGACTATCTCCTATCATTATTTCTTTCAACTATTTATTTTTATTGCTTTGTTATTTTTATTTAATTTTAGTTTATTAAATTAAATTCGATAAACCTCCTTTTCATTTTATTTTACAAATTTTTTGGTTAGAGATCAAATCAAATTTAATTGAAATTTTTTTAGTCTTTGTGGATTCACCCTATTTCTCAATACTATTCTATTTATTTTATTTTATTTATTTAAATTGAGAATTATGTTTATTTATTTGATAATTACTACGCTTGATCAAGAGAGCAGCTCAATGTCTCTACAGAAACTAAGAGGATTTAGTGAAATTGAATGCAAGGTTTTGTTGCGGATTCGGCCATGAAGATTGGTTGGTATTTATAGCCAATCGGAATAGACCTTTTTTCCTCATAATTCCAATATCATATGGTCTTTACTGAAAATCTTAAATAATATACGAATTATTAATTATTTATATTTATTTAAAATTTTATCAAAAATATTAAAAAGGAATATAAATGTGATCTAATCATAAGAATAATAGAACTATTAATAAACCATTTATTTATTTTATTAATAAGGGTAGTTTTATGTCTATTCATATAGAATTACGTTAGTTAATTGATAATGATGTACTTATATTTTGTGGACGTAATTATTCGAACTTAAAATTTTTAGGGTGAATATGTTAAAGTGCCTTTAATCCAATATTTATTCTAATTTATTTGTTTTTGGATTGAAAAGTAAAAGTTAAACTCAAACTGTATCTAAAAACCATAATCATCAATGATATATGTATTTGCTATGAACTCTTCTATTTTTACTTCACGTCTGCTTTCTTCAAATATGCTCTTGTAAAACATTACTGCAATAATCCATGATCAGGTGAACTAAAAATAGAAGTGAACTACTACAACAACAAAAAAGTTGTTAGGGCAAGTGAGAACTTGATTGCAACAATTTTCTATTTGTCCTAACTTCTTTCTTTTTTTTAATACAAAATAAGTTACAACTCCAAAATTAAAGAAATTTAAATATATATATATATATATATATATATTTGTACAGAACTATTAATTTAGCAAATGGAGTTCAAACATTCACATTCAAGCATAGAAATAAACTTTTAGGGAGCGAATCCAAGATAATTTCTCCAACTAGTGTTCCGTTACTTGAAGCTGTGCGATTTTATTTAGTTTATGCCGAATATATATAATTTTTGAAGGATAATAGCATAACCAAATTATATTAAACGAAGGATTAAACCCTTAATATGTTGCCATAGTCATGTCATTATATCATTCGGTCCTACATTTTTTGGTCTTCCTATAATTTATTCGAAAAAGGATGACAAATTCCCTTTGAATCTTCAATTTCCAAAGTTAGAAGCTATCAAATTAATTAAGTAATTAAAGCCTTAACCTTAGAAAACTTCAAGTGGGTGGTGAGACTGGTTGCCTCTAAACGTCTGACAACTTCATAATTATTATAATAAAACACATGGATCTTGGTTCATCAAAAATTTGAAACTAATATATTTGGCAATAAAAAAATGAAACTGATAAAAAAAATAAGGAAATTAGATATTTGAGAAGTATTCCTAAGCCATTGTTGTTTCCTAATTTCCTTGAAGCTGCCGAGGAGATTAGTGATTAGACGACATATAATTTAATATACAATTATTTTTATGTAGGGTAAAATAATTTTAAGTATGAGTCAGGAATTCAAAGCAGGATATGCATAATCAATGTTTAATGAAAACGATCAACCTTTCAAAATAACATTAACTATGTTGGCGGATGATTTACCATTTTTCACCATTGCTTTCATTGGTAAAACTACAATAATTAATAGTTAACTTAGCCACATTTCAGGTACCAGAAAATAAAAACAGTTTAGGTACCAGTATTTTTTCTTTAAACTTATTCAGGTATCAATATAGTACTTCTTACAAGGTGACGTATAAAACAACTTGATGCGATGGCTTTATTCCCCTGATTGTGACAGAAAAAATTATAGAGAGATGAAGGGAAATTATATATATATATATATATTTCACGTACTGATAAAAAATATAGATGTTTTTCACGACAGTAATAAAATTTAAACTTAAATTTATTGTAAATATGGTAAAATTATTATATTAACTCAATCAAAATTAAATTTTGAATTCCTTTATACACTCACGGAATTAATAAACGGATATAAAAATGGCATCATATACTTCTTTTTCTAATTGAAAGGTGCCAAAGTTGCCTAAACCAACTAACTAAGCAGCAACTAACGGACCGACAACTGTATTAAAATTATCGATTGCAGCAGTCGGTATCTCGTTGTGGATGACAACGCGAGCGTCAGCTTCATCGGCGATCCTGGACATACAGTAGGCAGCAGGGACAGAGTCAGACTAAATATTGACAGAGATCGAAATATTAGAATATTTAAAAAAATATAAAACTTATTAGATATTTAAACTTAAAATTCAGCATGAACTAAGTGATCTTAGTGATTAAGGGATTGATATTATTCTTGAGGTCTCGAGTTCGAGTATTGCGCATGTAAGGTTATGAGCATTTATTGTCAAATAGTTGAGAGTCTTTGTACATACATTACCTTGTATTCACCCTAAATTTATAAAAAAAAAAATTCAAAATTCACAAGATAACACTTAATTTGTGTAATACTAAAACTTACAATCACATAAGTTGTTATTAGACAAAAAATTTTGAGAACACGAGGTTATCATACTTTAGTTTGGTCTACACTTGATTAAATATTTAATAAATTTTTATACTTTTAATTTAAATATTTATTTTTATATGAACTAAAATACTATTAGACTAAAAATATAACGAATATACAAATTTTAACAGGAACCGAGTCCCTTTGTACTCTCACTAAGCTCCGCCCCAGATCGGCAGTCATGTTGGAGTCTCGCCATACGTGCTTGAATGTCACATCCTAGCTCCAGCCGCACATACAAGAGATAGCTCGAAGGCTCGAACTAAAGCTACCGGGCTGCGGCTACTTCGAGAGTCAACCAGCAGTCGAAATGCGTCACACTATCCACCAACACCTGAACATGATCAAACCTGGACGACCAAGCTAACTAGACCCTCAAACAAGCCCCAAAGCTCAGCTTGAAGAACGGTAGTGACCTCAACATTCTTTGAAAAGCCTGAAAGCCAAGTTCCATTGTGATCCAAGAAAACACTGCCGTCAGTTTTTAAGCTCAATTCTCTGAGGATGCTGAGCCTTAGCAATATCAGTGCAACCTGCATAGTGCCTTGCCCATGTCCAGCATAGTATCAGAAGGTCATCAGCCTGCTGAAGAATAAATTTGAGCGTCATGGATTTCTCAGAAGATAACATTTTCACAGATAGAATCATACATATTTTGAGTTGTCCGCTTCCCTAACCAGCCCGGGCTTTACCACTATACTTTAAGCTAGGAAATGAAGTCTGGCTTCGGATTATACATATTCAATTAATTTTTTTAAATATTATGTGATGATGCATTCATCATCACAAAACCAACTTGCACCTTCGGATTAGACACATTCAAGGTCTGTTTGACTAATGGGCAATTTGATGGAACTGTTTATTTAATTTATTCATGATATGATATCACAAAATACGTCACTGTACGCTATGTTGTACTTAATTAAGATACTGTAGTCGCTTCTTCAATATCTCAACGAGAAATTATACTTGGTAACTATGCAGATAATGTCGAGATGTTCACTCTTTCATTCGCTGCTGCTACTTGTAAGCTTTGCTCTTTCATTTCAAGTCCATGCTCAAGACCCATCAGGTAATTTGCCTACAAAAATCTTCCAATACATATAATACTCAACAATCTTTCCAAGTATAAATCTCAATCTTTTCAGGTTTCATTAGCTTAGATTGCGGATTGTCAGAGGATTTAAGCTATACTGATTCCACAACAGACATATATTACATTTCGGATGAATCTTACATTCAAACCGGAATAACTAAGCGTATATCATCAGAATATTCGAAGGTGTATCAGCAGATGTACTGGACAGTTCGAAGTTTTCCCCAAGGAGATCAAAACTGTTATAACTTTACCTTGAGGAAGGGAGACAAGTACATAATCAGAGTAAGTTTCTTGTATGGAAACTACGATGGGAAAAACACAGTGCCACAATTTGATATCCGTTTAGGACCTAATTTATGGGCAACGGTTAATTTAGACAACACTTCTCGTTCCTGGGAGATCATTCATGTTCTTCAATCAAAGTATTTGTATGTTTGTTTCGTTAATACTGGGAATGGGGTGCCTTTCGTATCAGTATTAGAGTTGAGGCTTTTGACAAATACTACACTTTATACAAGTCAGTTTCAAACTGAATCACTTTCACTTTGGAGAAGACTTGATGTTGGTCTGCCATCTGATGGTTTCCTCAGGTTAGTGATATCATTAAATTTCCTTAGCTAAAAAGTATATATACATATTTTTTACATTATGATCATGACAATTGTCGTCACAGGTTTAAAGAAGATGGTTATGATCGCATGTGGTGGCCTTATCAAAGAGATGATTGGAGGGTATTGAATACTTCTATCAACATGGAAACCAATAACGTCTACCAGCCACCATTGGTGGTCATGGAAACTGCCGGTACACCAGCAGATGTTGGTCAGCCGATGAATATCAGTGTTCCAATTGACCGGTTTTATGTGTACATGCACTTTGCTGAAATTGAAGTTCTCAATAACAGCATTGAATCCAGAGAGTTCGACGTGTATATAAATGGGCAGAAATTTTATGGAGGTTTTCGTCCTGCATATTTGCAAGTATTCAGCTTATACAGCGACTCAGCCCTAAGTAGTGGTGAGATTTCAATCCAAAGAACCAGTAATTCAACCCTTCCGCCCATCCTTAATGCCATTGAAATTTATGAAGTGAAAAACTTCTTACAGTCTCAAACAAATGAAAAAGATGGTAACTTACTCTAAAACTAACAGCATGAATTTGCGCGCGCACACACACACACACACATATGCTTTCAGTCTCAGTCTAACTACATTTCTCTGTTATATCTTATAGTTGATGCTATTTCGAATATAAAATCCATTTATGGAATAAAGAGAAACTGGCAGGGAGATCCATGTGCGCCTCAAAAATTCTTGTGGGAAGGACTTAATTGCAGCTACGATACTAATCCTCCAAGAATCATATCTTTGTAAGTCTTTCGTGCGCCTGCCCCTTATGTTTTAGGCAAGCAAGGGACTTTTTCGATTGTTGTTAAATTAAAAACTTTTTGGCCACGAAATCAGGAATTTGTCATCTAGTAATTTGAATGGAGAGATACCTAATGTTACAGCCAATCTCTCTCAATTACAGCAACTGTAAGTGTCTCCAATCTCCATGTTTATGTGTTAATTTCGGGTACTCATATTAATGGTGATGAATGAATTTATTAGGCTCACTTATTGCTATATATTATCAGGGACTTATCCAACAACCGTTTGACTGGACCAGTGCCTGAATTCCTGGCTAACCTGCAATTCTTGACTCTGCTGTAAGTTATTCGGAAATCTGAGAGTACTTGGAAAATAATGTTAACGGATGAAGTATCATGTTCGTCGTCTTTTTCTTGCAGAAATTTGAGTAGAAACATGTTTAATGGTTCAGTTCCTGCAAAACTCATGGAAAGGGCAAACCGGGATCTGCTAGATTTAATGTATGATTTTCTTCTTTATTTATAGTTTTGAATGTCGATATGCTTATGTCTTGGTGATAGAGACATCAATATTTAAATTGCGGTAAACACATCAAACAAAGTCAAAGCTTAATTACTTGTTTCTAAAACCATCCCTGTTTAACTTTTTAGTACTGCTCTTTGCAAACATGGAATCAACAAACTAATCGACAATTATTTAGCAGTAACTAGAATTCTATTCCAATCCTTTCTTTTTCCAAAACAGCTTTTATTCAAAACTTTATTCATTTTTGTTGATCAATTCGAACTGATTGAAGCATGGATGAAGATACAAGTCCTATTTGTGCACCCGACTCATGCAATAACAACAATGACGACGACAAAATTGTCCCTATTGTAGCATCAGTTGCATCCATAGTTTTGGTCCTAATAATTACTTTGGCCGTATTATGGAAGCTTAAAAGAAGAAAACAGCCTGGTATGACTATTATCACGTACAATTGGTGGATCCAAATTAAGATTTTTTTTTTTGGTTCCATGCACATAATCCTATCGAATTTGTTTCAGTTTCTTCAACGGAGAAGACTGATGTCGAGGATTCCGGAAAAACAAACCAGTACTTGCAGGGTTCACCAAAGAACCGACAGTTCAGCCATGCTCAGGTCCAAAGGATGACGAACAATTTTGAAACAGTGTTAGGTGAAGGAGGATTTGGAAAAGTTTTTCTGGGCTATTTAGGTGAGACCAAAGTAGCAGTGAAGATGCTTTCACCATCATCCGTTCAAGGGTATAAGCAGTTTCAAGCTGAGGTATAAAAGGGATTCATCTGATCTTATCTCTTAATAATTAACTTTTAATAAAGGCTATTAAACAAAATTGATTGAGAAATATGGGTTTTAATTCTTTACAGGTGGAAGTTCTATTGAGAGTTCACCATAGAAATTTGACGATGCTTATCGGATACTGCGATGATGGCAGCAACTTGGCGCTAATCTATGAGTACATGGCCGAAGGAAACTTAGCAGAGCATCTCAAAGGTTGGAAAGCATCGAGAGAGTGTTTATATTTGACAAGTGAATGCAATTAAAAATGAAATGTTTAATTAATGGTTCTATGTAGTTAGCAGCAGAGGTGTTTTGAATTGGAAAGTAAGACTTGGCATAGCCATGGAAGCAGCACAAGGTCAGCAGGCATATATATATATATATGTGTGTGTGTGTGTGTGTGTACACCCAATTACTATAGTTGAAATTAAACTAATAATAAGCAAATTAAAACGAAACGTAGGACTACTGTATTTGCACCACGATTGCACACCGTCTATAATCCACAGAGATGTGAAGTGCACCAACATATTGTTAACTGAAAGTCTGCATGCCAAGCTCTCTGATTTTGGGTTGTCCAAAGCTTTTCCACTTGAAGGCCACAGTCTCATTACTGGGGTTGCTGGTACCCCAGGATACCTTGATCCCGAGTAAGTAAATCTGGTTTCGACACACACTTGAGTAATTTCAATCAAAAGTAATTTCGAATAAATTTAAGTCATAAATCTATTATCAAATAGGATTTTTTTTTTGTTTACTCGTCTTCTGAAATAATGTTTGCCATGCAGGTATTCTACTTCGAATAGGTTGACAGAGAAAAGCGATGTCTATAGCTTCGGAGTAGTCCTTTTGGAGATCATTACGAACCAACAAGTGATTATTAAATCGTATGACCAGACCACACATATAAGCCAATGGACTAGTTTGATGTTATCTAATGGTGATATCAAAACCATAGTTGATCCAAGATTGCAAGGAGATTTTGACATTAACTCAATGAAGAAAGCAGTTGAACTGGCAATGGCCTGCGTATCTCAAACTTCGATGAAAAGGCCATCAATCAACTACGTTGTGGCGGAGATAAGCGAGTGTTTGTCGACTGAGATTGAAAGGAATCAACAGCACAACATTCAATTTGCTCCAGCTGTAAGGAAATCCCTCGCCTAGGCAGACGGGATTATGCAAAATATATTAGCATAACCTATTTAACTACCAGCTTGATTTTCTCTTCATCCTCGTCTCATTGATGGATAATGCAGAAACAATTGAAAACGGTGAAATATATTAATCTGTACAAAACAGGGAAGACAGAGTCTGCTAGATGAATTAAAGAGTATATGTTGATTAAATGAATCGATAGTTTATTTGGACAAAATTAGGACTATATTGTAGATGAAAAGAATTTAAGGGAATGTTGATCAAGGAAAATTAGGAGTATATCTGAGGACTGAGAATTAATCTTTTTTTTTCATGAAATATCCTAAAAAATAGTTTATGTACGATAATATTTTCTTTTTCTGTTTTGTTGTTCATTTTGTGTCTTTTTCTCTTACCCCCAGCGCTAATAGTTTGGGTTATTCCTTTTATTCTCCCCTTTTTATTATTATTTTTCGTTCCGGTTTCAAACCGTATCGCACACATAGTTTTAATGGACGAGTCTCCCATCAAGAATTTTTTACATACACAAAAACTCAAACTCGAGATCTTATCACGCAATTAATGAGCACGGATGAGTACCGTTAATGATAAGCACCCTTAAGTTAATTTATAAAACACTAAATTATAAAATATTAAACATATAATTATAAATTAATTAAAAATCTAAATGTAATTTAATTAAAATAAAATATTTATAAAATATTAGTTTTTAGGGTAAACTTTACAATTGTCTATCTAACTATTTATCCCTTTTACTTTAACCACTAATTTTTTCAATTTTGTTAATCAGATCAACTAATTATTTAAATTTTTTCAATCAAACCACCTATCGTTAAATATTAACAGAGGAGATGACACGACAGTTAATAAAATTTGTATAATTACACATTTTATTAATTTGATCTTAACTTTTATCTAATTTAATAAATTTAATCATCAATCCGATGGTGACATATGTCACTGTGTGATTGGATTTTTTTAACATTTTTTATTTAATCCAATCAAATGGTGGCACGTGTCACCGAGTGAATGAATAGAAAATAAATTAAATTAATAATTATTTCTGGTGGGGTTTGAACCTAGGATGCAAGCCGTAAAACTAAGCAATCTAACAACTAAGTTAGACTACTAAATTTGTCTAATATACAGAACATAATTTATATAATTTATAATATAATTAATGGTAATAAATGACCTTATAAGGACTCAAACATGAAATAATTGAATAGCATGAAAATATAAAATATATACAAATAAATATTATAATTGATTCATGAATGAATATGTTTTATTTTTATTTTAAATCACATTTAATGTAAAAATTAAAAAAAAAAGTAAATTTAATATATTATAATTGAAATTTATCATTTTTCATATTTTAAATTAATAAATTGTCTTCATTATTCTAATTGTATTGAACTAAAATGTATCATATCTTATATTTTAAAATATTATAACATCAATCGAATTATAATCTTATTTAACAACTCTATATTAAAATTAATTAATTCAATAAAATCAAGTTTCCCCTAATTTTTTTTAAAAATATAATGAATAAATAATAAAATATAAAATTCTTACTCTAACTGGGATATAAACAAGTCAATGTATAAGTTAAAATGCTTACTAAGATAAGCCCTCAACTATCAGGAAAATTCTAAGTCAACAAAATTCTTCGTTATATTTTAATTATAATATATTAAAATTATTTTTATTTTTCATTAAAATGATTTAAAATATAAATAAAATACATTCACATATTAATCAATTATAAAATTTGTGTGTCATATAGAGAAAATAACTTCAGTAACCGAAAATGCCTTATAATATACGATTTTAACCAACTTTTTTTGGAATTGCAAAAATGACCAACAAATTCGCAACGCGAACTCCAATTTCGTAACTCAGTTTCCAAATTCGCAACACTGAATTTCAAATTCGCAACTCGATTTCTAAATTCGCAATGCGAATTTTGTTGTAGCAACTCGATTTTCGAATTCGCAACACGAATTTTAATTTCGCAACAGGTTTTAGTTTCGCAACACAAATGTTTTGGGTATATAACTACGCAGCAGCAGCAACTCATAACCTAAATCCCTAAATCACAACTCATTCCATCTCCATCTATCACTCTTTCCGGCGACATCCGTTCCTATATCTAACGACATCCTTCCCCATCTCTAATTGTTTTTTACATAATTTTATTTCTATATAATTTTTCAATGATTTCTCTCCCAAATTATCAATTATCAACTTAATAAATATATGTTTTTCTCTAAGTTAGTGATGATATGTAGTTTATAGCTCGTTTGTTTAGTAAATTAATTTACAATTTATAGAATGAAATCATCTAATGTTGATCATGTTTGGATAGATTAGTGTTTTGGAGGGTCATGGGAGAATGTTCATGGTGTTTTACAATATATGCCTTTACCCATGAATCTTCAACTAAAACTGTCATTAAAAAAGTTAACTTATGAAACTCTAATGTTACGTGTTGCAAAGAAATTGAATTTAGAGTCTCTAAGTGGATTTAGGCTATCTTATCAGAGAAAAGGTAAAGTTTATTTGTTAACCGACAATGAAGATGTTGAACGATTCATTGCTTACATTAGTGTTTCGCAAGAAGATGATGTTACATTGTATGTTGTTGAACCTAGAAGTAGTGAAGTTGGGTCAGTAGCAGGTAGTAATCAACTAAGTTCTTCAACCCCAGTTTATGGTGCTCATAATATACAACGTTGTTATCAACCTCAAAATTTAATAGTTTCACCACAATTTTATCACTAAGAAAATTTTGTTTCACCACATTTACAATACCAAACACAATATCAAACACAATCTCAAAACCCACAACCTTTTCCTAATCCAAATCCCAATCAACTTTCAGCACCAAATTTTGGTTTTTGTATTGACCAGTTAGACGGTTATGAGCAAACAAAAAAATTATGAGAACTAGTCAGTATTCAAAATTTGATCTTGGTCAATACCCGGACTTTGATCTTGGTCAATACTCAGATTTTGAAGATGTTTCAGAAGAAGAAACAGACCCTGCATGTAATGATTTTGATATTGGTCAATACCCGAATTTTGATGATGAAACAGCTGTTGTCGAGGAAGATGTTGTTGATAATAATGAGGAGGAAGTTACGACTGTGAATGAACATGTTGAACATTCATTTTGTAATTCATATAACCCTGAAGAAGAAGAAAAAAAGAAGTCCCCGAAGAAAATAAAAAGAAGAAAATGCCACGGGAGTATAACTGGAATATATCAGAATTACTTCAGATACCGGAAGAAGAGTTGGTAAAGATAGCAGTTGATTGTTACACAAAAGTTATTCGTATCAAGAAAGATGATTATTTTGATACAAATGAATACTTGAAGATAGCTTTGTATAAGAAATGTGTGGAAGATGGCTATCAACTAAAAGTTAACAAATCAAGCAAAGATCGTTTCGAAACAAAGTGTATGATTGACAAAAATTGTACGTGACATGTGATTGCAAAGAGGATAAAAGATTGTGAAATGTTTCAAGTTAGGACTTTTATTGATAAACATACATGTTCAAGAACCCAAGTTTTTCCTCACCATAGACAGGCAAACAAAAACGTGTTGGGTGGTTTTCTGGCTGAGTTAATATTTTTGAATGGCAGGGTATATCAGGGACATGAAATTATGACTAACATGAATGCTCGGTTCAAGATTAGTATCTCATATTCTCAAGCTTGGAGAGCCAAATGTTATGCCTTGGAATTGTTGAGGGGGTCTCCAGAAGCATCGTTTGCCCAACTGTCGGCTTATTGTCACAATTTAAAGCTGAAAAATCCTGGGTCGGTAACTCATATCAAAACAGATAGAGATGGACACTTTGAGTTGTTGTTTATCGCCATTAGTGTTGCGGTTAGTAAATCAATATAATTTTGTTGACTCATTTTTGTTAGTTACATGCATTTCACATTTAAATGAGTATGTCTTGTGTATATTATTTTGTAGATTCATTCGTTTATTACTTGCATGCGCCTAGTATTATAGTTGACGGAACACATTTGAAAGGTCGATACCTTGGAGTAAACTTATTAGCAGTAACCATGTATGCTATCAATGGGATACTATCAATAGCTTACGGGGTTGGCAAATCTGAAACCTCTGATTTATGGACATGGTTTATGGGGCATCTTAGGGATTGCATAGGTCCTATTAGCAATCTGAAATCATATCTGATAGGGCAAACTCAATTGACAACGTTGTTAGAAGGTGTTTCCCATATGCTTTTCATGGACTTTGTGGTGTTCATTTGTACAGAAATCTAAAATCAAGGTCTGCTGGTATAAAAAATCACAAATGGACATATTGGAAGACTGTAAAAGCTTATCGGGAAGTGGATTTTAATAAGCATATAAATTGTTTAAGACGTGTTTTGCCTCAATGTGCTCAAACACTAGAAGATGTCGGGTTTGAAAGATAGTCAAGAGCACATCAACTTGGAGCAAGATATGGTTTCATGACGTCTAATAGTGAAGAATCAATCAACGCTCTAAGTCGTCATTCCAGGAAATTACCCATTACTATGTTAATGGAGTTTTTTCGAGCCTCTATTCAACAGTGGTACTACAAGAAAAGAAACCATGCATGTATTATTTCTTTAAATTCGTAACTTATCATATATTTTACTAAGTATTATTTATTTAAATTTACAGGAACATTGGAATGTTGTGTTACACCATGGACTGAAAAAAAGATAACGAAACGTGTTGTGAAGTCAACGTCATGGAGAGTTGAACCATGTTCAAACACTTTGTTTGAAGTATTGGATAATAACTTAAATGAGCTTGTCGATCTAAATGCAAAGACGTGTAGTTGTATGAAATGGCAAACATTTGGTTATCCGTGTGGCCATGTTATAAAAGTTGCTCTTCATCTAAACCAAGATAATTCAAGCGCATACGCTATGGATTGCTACACTACAGAAGTATATCGACAGACTTATGCCGAGATTGTCTACCCTATTCCACATCCTTCTGAGTGGGACATATCAGATGACTTACA